AATCCGCATTGACCATTAAACATGACTACGAGTAATCCGCAAAGGGGTCACCTATTTCCCTCATGTATCGACAAGTTGCCATTTTGTTTACTCCAGCTTTAATCAGTGCCCCACTTAGCTCCTTTGAACAGCCAACTATCAGAGAAGTTCATGTTGTCATAACAACTCGGCCACTTGCCCATGTTGTCCATCCGTCTCACGCTCTCGCCAATCTGAGCGTCGTCAACCTCGAAGAGCCCTGGAACCCTGTCAGCGGTAGGAGTTCTGGTGATTCTGGGGATGGGAAGGCCTTCACTGTGTCGCTGCTCCGGTCTTTTGACAGGCCGCAGCAGTCCTCAGGTGAATTTGAGTCTTCCAAATCTTCTGTATCGTCAACACGCTTGCTCCTTACTCTTCTTCCAGCACTCTCTGCGCGTGTCAGTTGTTTCGCCCATTTTTTATGCAAGTCAATTTCACAGTTTGGTACAATACTGGAGAAAGCACACAATTACTTTTTAATCTAAGGAATTCTCATTTATTTCGCCTCAACCCAATATTGGGCTGACTATCTGCAAATCATCAAACTGACCTTCATGTTCATGTGTACATTCTTCTACAAGTAGTTATTTATGCTGAGTGTCTGACTTTCTACATCGCTAGGCAAAAATCGGAGTACATTTATCTTTCATTTCTAAACGGCTTTCTTGTCTCCATGTCCTCATTGCAAAGTGCTTCTCTACCATAGTTGGTTTTGTGCGTACTTTCACAAGTTAGGACGCACAAGTTTTTGCAATCTGCATAAATTAATGAAGCTGCCACCTGAAGCGAGTGAAGGGAAGACTTCCTTTTTCCATATGATGTATAGCAGATAAGGATAATGCATATCTTAACATGCCCAAACGACATGGACGCTCTGAGAGCCGTGTTTTTCTTCTTGCCGTCCGGACTCAGATCGGCGGCCCGCCAAGTTCTAGAAGCCGCTGTCGCGGAATAGACCTTCCCTCGGTGGTCGGAGGCAAATTCCTCCACTCCGGCTGCAATTCACACTCAAAGTGGCCAAAGTACCGAGGCGTTCGGCTGCCAGATCTGGCGCAGTGACAAGTGCCGGTCTACTCTTCCACCCTCACCGGGCACTAGCAACGATAGCGCACGTAGATGGGCGACAAAGACGAATAGATGCTGCCATAGATGAACCAGTGACAAAATGAAATTGCTTTGTGTTGCCGAGGTATACCCATTTATGCTGGTTTCTCATTGGACCGAGACGTTGTGTTCAGACTAGTTATCAGTCGAATAGGAATCCTGTAGAAACTGGTACACCTCGACAGCAATCAGCCTGTTCATAGCTTTGAAAACAAAAAACTGTTCCTAGCTGAAATTGTTTTGCCCGGGCCGTTTTAGTAGAGGCTGGTTAGAACAAAGAGATTACGAGATTTTCCCTGAGGGTGACCCATAACAAACTTTCCTGTTGAACTTTAAATGCAGATGGCTTTGATCGGAGAGGCATGTCTTGCATTCAAACTAATGCCTGTGCCTTGGGCGTATGACTGGGTTTTAGTTCCGTCGGGTGATGCCGAATCCTGAATGGAATCAAGGCTGTAGACAATTCAGAATAAAACAGGTCTCTGCTCAAGTAATCTTTGAATAATCACTCATTCAAGTCTGCCACCCCAGTTGATTATTCTGGCTTCTTCCGATTGCAGTTGTATTCGTTGACCTATTCTCTCTCTCTCTAACTAACTAAATAAATACACCAATAAACAAACCAACAAATAAATAAATACATACATAATTAAATTTATTTACATATTTGTATATTTGGCCGCACCAAATTGTTGAATCTAATGCCGCTCACCTGATTTTTGCTATGAAGTTAAGGTTGATGCATTTAATCAAGCCCCCGCCTTTGGCTTTACTGAAAGCGAGGAAAGCTAAATATTTTTTTTATTAGTTCTAGTTTTAGTTTTTGCTCAGTATTTGCAACTTACAAACAAGATACAATTAATCATTTGGACTCAATCTTGGCGAGAATAATCTCCCTTCCTGATGATGTCTATCAAGTGGCTATATGGAAGAAGCTCAGTCTGTTTCACCGAAACGGAAATAACATGGCTCGTTGATTGCGTCAACCCAAACGACAGTAAAATCAACTAACTGTAGATTGAAGTGGGTTGAACTCGTTGTCGCAACTTGGTCTTGTTTTCAGGGAGACCATGTAGAACGCACCTA